TTGGTTAAAAAAAAAAAGATCTGTATATTTATTTTTGTTATGTTAATTTGTGTAACAGAAAAGAGCCGACATGGTTATGTGATTCCGAGATAAGATCGGAGATCGATTAATCACATGACCCGGAAAATCTTACCTACATCCTGGATCTGTCAATTTTGTAATAACTTTTCATTATTTGAAGATAACAATAACCCTTCAACATTATTTGAAAATGGCTCTAATTCTTCATTATTTGAAGATAATGATAATTTTAACACAAGCAGTTCATTGCTTACTGAAAATAACAATAATCTCAGTACTAGCTATCAATATAACTTTAGCATAGAAAATTATTTTGATGATTGAACATCAGTTGATAGGTTTATGTATAACTATTGCTTGGAGCAAGGTTTTGGATACCAGGTTTTTCATAATGATAAAGATTTAAATGATCCAAGTATTATTTATCACAAGTCTTTTCGCTGTTTATCAAGTAGTACTTACGAACCTAGAAAAGTAATTGATCAAAATTTACATCATATATGGGGCACCACAAAGACAAATTGTGAATAGCATTGCAACTTTACATTTCCAAAAACAATACATAAAGTAAAATGCATAACATTAAAGGATATACATAATCACGAAGTTAATCCTGTCTAAATATATGACATTATTGCTAGATACTGTCATTTTAATGAAGAGATGATGCAAGACATTAAATTTTTTTCAAATTGTAAAGTAGTACTCATTACTCAGTTGATGATGCTTAAAAAAAAATATTCTTAACATGTTTTTTATAAGCAAGACATATATAATGCAATAAATTACGTAAAAATAATATTAAGAGACTTGACTCTGTTTTATTTCTTGATACTCTTTTTGAAAAAATGTCACAAGATCTATGCTGGAAAGTATTTGTTAGGCATTCTGGTATTGAATATCATTTATCAGGTGTTTTTTGAATATCACCCTCTTAACAAGAGTTATATCGACATTTTTCAAACATAGTGCTTAATAGCAATATGTGCAAGACCAATAAATTCAATATGTATCTTAGTGTTTTTATGATAAAGAACAGTTATGGAAAATTTTGAAATGTGGCAAATACATTGGTGGAAAATAAACTTTCTTCAATATATGTTTAGATTTTACAGTATTTATCAAAAGCAACACTAAATCTAGTTTAATTAATGCAGTATCTCAAGTTTTCCCAATACACAGCATTTTTATTGCTTATTTCATATTTGGCAAAATATAGTTAAGCATCTTAAAGCCTCTTTGGGTTCTAAGTTTTACAATTTTAGTCAAGCTTTTTAATTATGCCGCAATTCATTAAGCATTGAGATTTTTGAACAAAAATGGAAATCTATGATAAAGACTTTTCCAGAATATGAGTATTATATGTTCAAAAAATTGTATGCAAATAGGTTTAGTTGGGCCAAGATATATACACCATACCAATTCAACACTAGAATCCAGAGCACACAGAGTGTTGAATCATTTAATAATATTATTAAAAGATCTTTTAATAATGCTAGCTTACTTTGTGAAGTTAAAGAAACAATTAACAAAAGACATAAACAAGAAATTAGATACTACAAATTAATAGACATTAAGGCACAATATAAAGCAATTGGGCTTCTGCATATCTCTTCCCAATTTTTTTCAACCATTGATCACATGCTTGTCAATTTTTTGACACCACTTATATTATTTCTACAATGATTTCAAATTTCACAATCTTTTACTTATAAAGAACAAAGAGAGTATATAATATCTGAAGTATGTTATTATTTGTTAATTTATGATATAGTATATATAAAGCTAGAATACTTACTTATTTTTGTTATAAAATTTATGTTTTGATACTATAGATAATGATTTTATAAAAGACGTAGTTGATGAACCACAGGCAACATTAAAAGCTATTTTAAGTGACAATAATAGATCACATCAGCGAAATATATTAACATAATTTTACGTAAGTTATTACGGCCCGAAATATTGTACAATAATTATGGTCTGAACATAATATTGCGCAAAAAGTTGCAAAATATTGTGCAATATATAACGTAAAATTACGAAATATATTACGCAAAATTACGAAACTTATAGCACAGTATTACACTATAACTTGCAAAATATATATATATATATATTTTTTTTTAACTTTGGCGTATCTTGCTAGGTATTTATTTTAGTAATTAATTCATATGTACAAATGATGCTAGCTAACTAACATATATGGTAAGTGATAAACTCT